TATATATATATATATATATGTATGTATGTATATATATGTGTTAAAAAATACATCAAGGTTTTCCTCAAAGGTCCCCACAACCCCAAAAAACAAAAAAGGTACTATTATGCAAGCCTAATAACCCATGGCCAATTCATGCTCAGGTACTGTTCCAGCCCTTGCTCCAAAAAGTGTGAAGTTACAGCAGGGAGTGCAAGCTGGATTTATTCAAAAATATTTTTAAAGGGTTATGATTATGAGGACATAAATTCTTTTTAAGTGGGCAAAGAACCAATCTCAGGAAAGGTCTGTTGCTTCACCCCAGTGGCAATTTGCTTTCGAATGACATGCAATCTTTTGCAGGATTCCCACCTTCTTTACATTTTCATCTTAGAGAGCTTCTTATGCTGATTGTTGCTCAAGTCCTCCATATATATATACAACATAATTTAGAATGATATAAAATTTAAATTATAGAATATATTTATTGAGAGTGAAGATTATAAAAGAAATTAACTGTAAAAAAATAATATGTAAAATATAAATAAAGAATTTCACCTAATTTAAACAGTAAAACAATAACTTGAACATCGGTTTTTATGGATTCACACCCCCACCCCCCTCCCTCTCCTTCCAAAAAAAAAAAAAAGAGGCTTTTTGGGTGAATTCAAATATGGATGCTGTGTAGCAGTGTAGGCCTACAAACTTATTGATGAGAGGAGAGACGTAGCACCATGACCTAAAAACTTTCACAGCAAATAAATCTGATGTTACTGTTCATGGTATCTATCGTCAACTGTTTCGTCAAATCAATCACAACCTTTTTAATCTTTCATACTCCATTGTGCATTTGTGCTATTGGTTTTTTTGGTCCGCCAGACTTGGGTCTTTGCTAATAATGGGTTACATAAAGAAAATGACATTTTTTTTCTTTCCCCCATAACACCTCTTCACTCATTTTGAAATCCAAATTTAACGTCCAATATAACGATTTTTTTTTTTTTTTGAAAATAAGCAATGGATCCAATATGAAGATCTTAAGCACTCCTAAGACGTCCCAAGGTGACATAGAGTTATTCTTTTATAGAAGAAATTATTATCAGTTACTTAATGCCAAGTCTTAAAGCAAGTCCTCTTGATTTCGCCTCCCGTAAAAAAATAAATAGTACAAACACTAACTTCATGTTTACCCAAAAAAGGTCATGTGACCTACGAGGGGGACAATACATAAATAAGAATTCCCTTTTAGAAGAATGAGGTATCCGCATTCTGTTCCCTACCCCTTTCCCTTTCTCTTTTGGCTCAAGGCAGGGAATAGGAATCCTTAATTTTGCAGACCAGCATTGACCCTATCAAACATATAAAGTTGCTTTCTTTTTCTTGGAATCAAAACTTTTTCACGTTAAACCCCATCCATTTAGGGAAATCTCAGAATAAAATGCCATATTAAGTACCTTTCTTACAAGAATTTTATAAAGTAGACAGATTCAAATAAATTTTAACCAAATCATGAATTACATACATGTCCTAATTAAAGAGATATCTTAATTACTAATAAATATGATAGAAAGTGAATAAATTTTAATAATTAAAAATAAAAAGATAAATCATTAAAATTTTGTATAAATATAGCATGTAAAATTTATGTATAAATAAATCTTAACTCATATTACTATAGTTTATGATTATTAGATGCACTGAATTTTCCTCAACTCAAATATGTTGATCATAAATTCTAACTTTAATTAGTTGGCAATATAACTCAAATTAAAAAACATTTCAATGTAGATCAATTGCTTTTCTTTTTAATGTAACTAGAAAATATAATTCATATGTCCTCAGTCAGAAAAATAAACAATTTATTAGTGAGAGCGGAGAATGCCAATGCATGATGTCACTTGACAAACTACAAAAAGAAAAGAGGAAAACCATAATCTAACCATTGGTAAAAAGAACTACCAACTCACCTGCCACAGCAATCACCATTCACCATTTTTAGTTTATTTTCTTAAAAAGAATATTTTTCTATTTCTTTGGTACCACCCATTTTTCTATAGGTAACTCAAGTTGTCCATACATTCTTCCTCAAACATGCCTCTTTTTGCACAATACTCCAATGAAAATAACCTCCTTCACTTTTCTTTCTCTCTCCACTCATGATTGAAGGAGCCCAACCTTTGATCTTACTGGGTTTCAGAACACGTGGTGGACCCAAGCCCATTTGGATGCTTATTCACTCTGTCTCCTCTACTTAACAAATGGTTCCCACTAATGCCATTGGTTTGGTGCTACGGTGGGCCTTCCCTGAGATCTTTGTTCTTTTCCATTTATTGCATGTTAAAATAATAAGTTAATGCGCGGCAGCTAATAAGACACCCAGTACCAAACTGTTGGGAAGAAAAAAAAAAAAAAGAAATGGAGTAAGATGAAAGCTTATTAATGACGGGCAAGTTTATAGCCACCGCTAAAAATGTTAACATTATTAAAAACGGTAAAATATTATTTTTAAAAATAATAATTCTATTTAATTTGATTGATAAAAATAAATTATAATTATAATTAATTGAATAAATAATATTTATTAATTAATAAATTAAAATGAATTAATAAACTTATACTTTTAGATATTATTTAAAAAAAATAAAAAATCAACCGCTTAACACTTTTTATAATGACAATAATTACACTCTTTTCTTTTGTCTATTTTATTTACTATCATGATAAGGATTTTTAGATTATATTTTTTTTATAGTTCATAAATAATAATTTTAATTTTTTATAAGATAAAATTACTTAATAAGAATTGGTTCTTAGGGTTTTTTTTTCAAATTATCATTAATAAATTATAAAAAAAATCACCTCAGAGTACATGTTATGGCAAGCACAATAGACTATCGGCTCTTCACTCAAATTGGCATTAGAAAAAAACATTGTTAATGAACTTTCTTGCATCCTAATTTATTACTTTCTCCATCTTAAAACAATAGGTCTTTTTTTATTTTCTTTTCAGATTAAAGATTTAGGAAAAAATTTTATTTTTACTTATTTAACTCTTAAAAAAATAAAAATAAGGAAATTTTTTTATGATAAATGGATAGTTAAAATTAAGAGATAATTACAAAGTTAATCAAGAGAAAATATATCTCTTAAATAAAAATATTAATTATTTTGAAACGGGAGTAATTATATACATAATAAACAATAAATAATAATATAGAGCGAGGTTCCACTTCAAAGGGCTCAATTTGACGCCTCAACCAATCCATCATCCATGGACTCAACCCACATCCACTCACTACCTGCCTTGTATGTTAGTGGCGTTATTGCCACTAACGAAAAGATATTCCCCCTTTTTCTAGGATGAAGATAATACATATATTTTGGTATTTCATTTCACCCTTTTATCTTCTTCTTCTTCCTTCCTTTTTTTTTTTTTTAATCATTATTTTAAAAGGACTCCCCACTGCCCTACGTAAACAAACTTTTTCCATTTTATTTTTCCTTTCTGCAAAATAATTGCTGCTATGATACATTAGAAGTTCAGCATCTGTTCGTGTTCCTTTCTACCTTTTCCCTTTCATCTGGTTAGGTGCCTCACCCAATTAATTCTGTATGCAAATTATCTGTTTTGAGTTCTAATCTTTCCAATAATTTTTAATTTGTCACTGAAGAGCGCCTTTCTTGGGAGTTCCAATCTTACGATGAGATCCATGTCACCATCGTAATGGCTAGGCAATGCAACGCTATCACATTACGACGAGACTTGCCATTGCGATTCATAAACTTCAAAGGAAAGGCCCCAGACGATGACTTATCCCAAACAAGTCACCCAGCTCCATTGCAATTCCACCAACCATTCACCATTTGTCTTCAAAAGAAGCTCATTCCAAGTCAAGAACTTTACGGTCCGTAATAGTCATTGCTGCAATGGTGGTGTTGGCTAGTATATGTCCATGAATAAAATTTGAGAGTTAGTACTCACAGAAATTCACCAACCACTACTCCAGAGACCAATAGTACTCGAACCAAGTTAATGACAATTCACTCTCTAATCTATCCTTCACTATATAAAATTTTAGAAGAGGCATATAAATGCACAATATTTCAATAGGGAGAAGGTCGAGGGTGATGTAAACAAAAACGGGTTCCTAAATTGAGCTATTTAGTTGTTAGAGAACACCAACCAAACTTTTCTGAACTAGTTAGGAGCAAAACCACTAAGCATCTGAAGGATCATCCTCTAGTAGGGCCACATTCAGCACCTGGAGGTACAATCTCAATACAGCAGCAGCTTTACTTGACCTGTGGCACAAGGATACGAAAATCAAGCAAACAGCTAAAATAAAAACCATACAAAGAAACTAATGAAAAAGAACAAAATCCCAGAACCCAGAATTGCCTCCAATTCCCCCACAAAAGATTCTATAGTGCAACTCAAGCATAAGGATAGAAAACAGTTTGAGCATCTCAAAGGCAATGAATCTGATGCAAGTTAAAAATATTCAAACTTACCTGCTGGTTTGCAGACCCCATTTTTCGGCCCCATTTATTGTAAGCTTGAACCTTTGCAAGGCTGCTCAATGAGACCAGTTACGAGCCATCACATCCTTGAGAATAATGCAAAGATATTGCACTTAATACTTGTACCTCTTTGGCACAGTACTTTCCAATGAACCAGTAAGCCTTCCGACAGCAATTCACATCCCAAATGTTCTGTTATACAGATCACCTGAACTAGCCATCCTGAATTTAGAATCATCATAACCAGCATAGAACTTGTTAAATCCCAGTCTCTCATTTCTGAGAAGCTCTGCCATAGCCACATTGTTTCCTCCTTGAACCTCATTCCAGCTATCCCAGTGACCATTTGACATACGTGAATTCCTTGTCTGTTGGAGAGATAACTGAGCAAATGGAGGCACATTATTCACCTGTGCTTGATCCAATAGCCTAGATGAAATTCCATATGAGTCATTAAGGGAAGAAAAACTATCCCCAATGTCAGCATATCTCAGATTCTGTTGTGTATTGAAAGATCTCTGCATAAACAGTTGACGTCTTGCCTCATTTTCAAAAGCACTCAACGGTGATGGAAAATTTGATCTCAAGTCTAAGCCTGTGTTGTTAAGCCCTCCTTGATGTCTTCCTTTACCAACTGCCAAAATTGCTGGGTCAAAGAATTCAATCTCCCCAGCAGTACCAATGTTACCACTAGGGGGTGACTGAAACGAATTTCTCAAAAGGGAGGAAGAGTCTACCAAATAATTTCCTGCAACAATGAAAATAAATCAGTATGCAAGGAACAAACCCTTCATAAGACAGAAAAAATAAAAAACTTACCAGGTATGCTGTCAAAAGATTGCTCCACTCTCTCATGAGAAGAGAAGCCTGGAGGTGGTGCTCTACTAGGGACAGCAAATCCAGGTGGGGCAGAAATTTGAGCTCTAGATATTGCTGGAGAAGACATTGAAAGGAAAGTTAAGCATGCAAGAAAAATATCTAAAAATAAGACCTGACACAAAAAGCATCAGAACATGGTCCACAATATGCAGTATAGCTCATTAGATCTTTCTAATTTTATAAAGAAAGACAAAATCTAGAAAGAGAAACAAAAGGGGCAAACCTATAAATGTTAAAATATAAACAAGCCTTAAAGTGATAATATCAATTAAACCTACACCTTTAAACCCCAATAAAAACGACAATATTATAATCCTGATGGGTTACCACTCAAGATTTAATTTCAGCATCCAATTGGTTAGAATAGAACTTACTAGGTTTGAAAGAAAAACATTGAGAGTGCAATAGTAACTGAAAAAGGATAAGACACTAACCAGAAAGCTTGTTAGATGAGAAAACTGAAGAACTGCCAGCAAAGTTGTTAGACTCATCAAAATTATTTGTAGAAAAACCATTGCAAACACCAAACTTATCCAGATATGGATCTCTGCTTTCTGCAAAATCTTGGCTGAAAGAACTGGTTTTGGTCATCTGTCCATGAACACTTAAAGAGGGATCAACATCAAATGACTGATACTTAGAATCCTCCTGTCTTGCAAAAGAGAATCTGGACTGGTTATTATTTTGTACTTTCCAGGAACTTGATAATTTCAAAGCTGTAGGCTCATCAGTGTCACCCAGCAGCTTGGCCAAATTCTGAGGTGATGTCAAGGGCTCATCCCATGTCTCAAAATCAACTGAAAATATATTTGAGATTATGCTGCTCTCTCCTTTGTCCTTAGCAGCATTGCTGTCAACATTACCAAAAAACCTTCCCATTTGCTTCTCTTTCAATTCATTTGAGAGAAAAAGGGAACCTTCTCCAGAAACATCAAAATCAACACTACCGCTCAGGAACTTCTCAGGGTATCCATTTGACATTGAGGAACTAGATCCATGGAGAAGCAAATTATCGCCCAATTTATTATCTACGAATATGTTATCAGCATTCAAATTGACCACATTAAAAGGTTCATTATGTTGAAGGGAATGAGACCTAGTATGATTTGAAAGGAAAGGACTCGATGAATTTGAGACATAAGTTGATCGACTAACTTCTGGATCCTTAAGCCTTTGATTATCAAAAGACAATATATCTTCCTCCACTTCAGAGCTTGAGTTCATCACTGCTTGAGTTTGTGAATCTGTTCTCCAATCATGCAGGTCTCTTGGAATACTCACGCCGGTCAATGTTGTCAAGGATCTCCCAGTTGCCGGTGAACTTAATGATTCTTGGTAGCGTTCAGCATAACATTGTTGTAACACTAGATTACCAGGTGGTTTGGTTAATCCTTGATCAGAATCTGAACTGCTTGGCCTAATCATACCAGAATGTTCATTTGAGACATTCCTATCTATGTTCAATGACGACATATCAGAGGACAAGCTCTGTAATTTCCCATTCATTGTAATGTTCCCCTGTTTTTCGGCAGCAGAAACACAAGATTGCACAGTAGGATCAAATGAGGGGCTTACAACACTTGAAGGAATACCGGTAACTTGGTCATCATACTTTGATTGCAGAGGAAAAGATAACTGACTGCTCAAAGGTTTATTAGCAGGAGACACATCAGGTGCAGCAGGCTTCTCTAATGAAGTGGTTTGACAATCCAAACCAGCATTCTGTTTCAAAGGTTTTAACAAATCAGGTTTACCCTTCATATGTATAGTATCACTATGCAATGTAGAAACCGGTGTTGTGCTTGCAACAGCTGATGAAAATGCTAGTGTGCCACTTGTTGTGTCAGATTTTTGCTTGGAGGGTCCATTTGAACATGCTAAACCTGCCACTGGTAGCTGGTTTGAAGCACGCATTCCCCTGCAACAAGTATTCAAATATGTTAATTGAAGAACTGACATTGCAACAAAAGGAGAAGGCAAATGCCATACCATGATGCTCCAGCAGGAAGACCAATTGATCTGCCAGAGCTTCCATTTGGGGGAGAATCTTTAGTAATTCCCACTGCTGTATTCTGGAATACATAAAAATATAAAAAACAAAAGCAGAAGTATCAGATATATTTGTCTAGGGGCTAACCATTGGCGAAGTTACTTAATCAAGGAACTACATGTCCCTAAAACATTTTTCTAATGTACAAACTTGATTCAAAAACACCTAAAGAAATTCTATCTAGTTTCTTTTTCCCCAGACTAAATGCAAGTATAAAAAAATCACATCCATGAGAACAAGAAACTACAGTTTTACATCAAGATAAAACTCCAAGAAACTTTGTCCATCAGTCCTCATCATGCATAAATGGGAACTTTCTAATGGAATTTCTTGAGGTGAATCTACAGAACTTACATTTGGTGCATTTTTGGCAATAGGTCTTGCAGTTGAAGCAGTACTGTTCTGGCAATAGTCATCCACTGGAGGAGGTAACACACTCCCTGAGCGCCGTTGCATATTGTTTGTTGCACTGGTAAGTTGCTGGACTCTACTCCTATAAAACCAGGATGTAAGTTAATTAATCCTCAAGTAAAAGACAGGCATTTGACATATAAAATAACACAATGGAAATCTGTTAAGTAACATTATTGGTAGCATTATCAAAACAAATGAATGCACCTTGTATATGCCGATATAATCTCATCTTTTGTGAAACTGTCCTCTTGAGAACCAATCTCGTGCAAATACAGACAGTCAGGATTGGTGCAAGGCTAAATCAGAAAATATCAACCTTGGTTACATAATATTAAGTAATTTTGTGACATAATTTTTCAAAGAGAATAAATAAGTGAAAATCCTTCAAGATTATAAAGTTAGTAGACAAAAAAAACTTTCACTTAGCACATACCACATTTCTCAGCCATGCATGGCAATACTTGGTTGTACCAAAGCAAGCCCTGCAATGAAAGTTTCAAGCTTCATAAACACAATCATGGAGAACTAAAGGGAAAACAAATCACGCAACAATACGCACTTTAATGATCTGCCCTCCAACACAAACCCATGTACAGACTGAATACAACGGATTGCCTCCTCCTCTTTCGAGTAAGTAATATATCTGAAAAAAATGACAACCTTATCATAGATATTGATATAAAGAGGTCCACTAAGAGGATAGTAATCTGTTTGAGAGCTATCATCAAGATTGATGATTCTTTCTTTCAAAATGTCTTAACAACAACAACAAATTGCTCTCTATCTTAAACCCATTACGTAAAACACCTTGGCCGCATTATACGAAAATGTTCTTACACACTGCAAGTATTGTTTGGAAATTGTTGAATGACCCCAGCTGCAGTCCTAGACATAGATACTTTCAAAACTTTCCCATACTGACCAAAATATTCTCTGTGCTGCAGTAGCTGCACAAAAAGAAAAAACAATTAGGCCATGCAAATAGAAAGAATGGGGCAAGGAAGCTTATGGGAGAGAGGGAGAAAGAGAATACATCCTCATCTGCAAGGTTAAGAGGCAATCCAACAATGTAAACAAGGTTCCGTTGGATCACCCGCACACTGCTGAGCTGCTTCCTTCCTTCTGATGATTTAGTTTTTGCCTTTTGAGACTTCATTTTTCTCTCGAAGTTGATTTCAGCCACCAACCTACATAAATCCAATAAGAATTAAAATAATAATAAAAGGATATGCCAAGGAATAATAATTGTTGCAATCTGTTACATGTAAAAATATAATATAATGTACTGCCCACAATATGACAACCTTTCACAGTTTGCAGCCATCCCTTCAATCTTTTCTTTGTCATAAGCTACACGACACGCTGGGCATCGTCCCTCGGTATCATCCTTCTCAGCCATATCCATTATGTGATGCCAACACCAAACACATATCTGCCGTAGCAAGATTAATACAAATATTTCATGTATATTTCATCAAAAAAACAAATGAAAAAAAAAAAGAATATTATACATTACACAAAAAAGTGAACTTAAAAAAGAACACTATTAATTAGTTAGCTAATGCATTATCATTTCTACTAATGACAGTACATCAGCAAGTGTCCATATAAAAATTTAGACCATTCTTTTCAACTTTTCAAAATCCAAGCTTAAAGATGTAAATGTTTATTACGAAAATTTCCTCATCAAGGGATAATAATAGTTAATGTAAGGCATTTCACAAGTACCAGAGGGCAGGCTGTACACTAAATAAGTAGCATTGATCGAATTGAAAGCAATGTACTGAACTATCACTTCCAAAAGAACACAGCTTCAGTTATAGTCATATTTACAAAATTTAAGATGAATAAATGAAGACAATGCACAAAACCTCGTAGCCACATTTGCAAGGCTTCAGCTGCTGATCAGTCAAATCCATCTCCTCTGCACAAAGGGGACAAGTCCTTTCACCCTCGTCACTCATGGTTGCCTGGGTTAAAAAACAATAAACGACCATAAAACTAAGCAACTACAACACTAAAACCGCACTCCACAACCAGCAACACTTTTATAAACACCTCCAATCATGGATTGAAAAAGCAATACTTAGAATATAGAAAAATCTTTCATTTATTGCAAAGAAAAACAACAAGACATCATCAACTTGCAAATCTTTATGAAACCATAACAAAATCCCAACCAAACAAACCAGGAACCCGAACATATCTCAAATCAAACCCTAGAAGCCCTAATCCCTGAAGCAGAAGATTCACACGATCATTACAGCCCCATCGCACTAAGAATCATATATAACTTAAAAATTATAAAAAAAAAAAAGGAAAAGAAAAAGAAAAGACAACACCGACTCCCCGCCGCATATCAATAATTCTCAATCGCCCAACCGAATCTTACAAGTCCGATAGGCGAAATTCACAATCCAATTCCTAATCAATAATTACCTACATGCAATACAATAGACCAAAACTAAACAAGATAAGAGAAAAGACTTCCGACTGACTATTACAGTCGGTTTCCGATCGAGATTGCGAATCCTCCACCAGAGATCTCAAAAAAAAAAAAAAAAGGACGATCGACGAACAGAACCTGAAATTAGCGCTTGAGAATCGAGAGAACTAAAACAGAGAGAAAAACTTACAGTCGGCAGATCGAGAAGGAGGCGAATCTGTGGAAGATTAGATTGAGCGATTGCAAAGAGAGAGAAACGCCGGTGGGAGGTAAGAGAAGATGAGAAAACCTTTTAAAGAAAGGAAATGAAAAAACATCAGGGGTTTTTTTGGTTTTTTAACATGGCTTTTTTCCCTGCTGGCTTTACTTTCTCCCGGCGTCGCTATCATTTAAATAGGGTTTTTTTTTTTTTTTTTCAAAGTGTGTATACATAATTAAATAATTGATAAATTAAATATTGTTTTAATTTTTTTATATAAATTTATATTGAAAAATATATTTATTATAATTTTAAAATACAGTTTAAAAAAAACTAATTTAATATTTCAGAGTTCCAATTAATGCCCTTTGTTTTTTGTTTTATTACAGGATTTTGCCCCTCCAATTTTCCTGTTTTTGTGGTGTCTCGGGAGGAAACTGGGTCCCTTTCGGGGGTGGTGTTCCGTTACTGTCCCCACTCGTGTTTGGACTTTGTGATCTTTGATGAGGGACACGTAATCTTCTTTCTGATTAACGGTTGAGATTCACCCTTTAGTCCTTTTATCAACCGTCGGATCGAATTCGGGGGCCCATCACAACGCGTTCAGTTCATTTGCGCAAAAACGGCCCGTTTCGGGGGAAATTACTAAATACAATACCCAACAGACTGAACAGAGTTCTGTCGTTTTCTAGGATGTGTTTGGGGAGACGTAAAAGTTGCTTCAAAAAAAAGTCCATGAAGTTAGCTCAGCCAGTAAAGTTTGATCTTCTTTTTTCTTTTTTCTTTTTTCTTTTTTTTTGTCTGTTTTTTCATATTCAGATTCTGCCATTAGGAATTTGGGGGTGTCTTAATAGGTAAGACTAGTAAATTATGATTATTATAAGTTTAAAAAAGAAAATGTATAATTAGTGATATACTTTAATTTTAATTTGAAACTGTAAATTAATCAACAAAACCTTGTAAAATAATTAAGAAAAGTTCTCATCCTATTTGTGACATGTTCTAATCTTTATTTGAATAATATGCTTTCTACACTTTCAAATAATAATAAAAAAAAAAAACTACAACAAAAATAAGTCAAGAATTCAAGAACAAAAAATCAATTTAGCTATGATTGTGTATTAGGTTTTTTTGACCTATACCCTAAGGTTAAGGATAGTTTTTGTTATAAATATATATAAAAAATATAAAAATTGATATTAATATTAATGTTGGTGTCAATTTGATAAATTTAATTAATAATTGATAAATTAAATATTAATTTTTAAAAAAATTTATGATAAAAAATATATTTATTATACCCTTAATACATACTCTAAAACATAAATTAAAAAATATTTGTGAATTACTATAATATAACAAATGTCATAAATATTGATTTTTTTTCTAAAATTACATAAAAATATGTTCAAATAGTAATAAATTGCTATAAATTAGTAAATTATGATTTCTTAAGTCCAATAAAAAAACTAACAAAAATTTAATCAAATTAGTACTCATTGAATTAAAAATTTTGATTTAAGGTTAAAATTAAATATTTAAATCTCTATACTACTAAATAATTAACCCTTTGATATAAAATAATAATAATAATAAGTCCAACAAAGAAAACAAATAGCAAATATTTGTTGGCAAAGTTTAATTGACTTTTAAGGTCAATTAAAAAAAAAAAAAAGAAAAACCCTGTTTTGACCTTTAAGAAAAA